TGATGCTCTGGACTATGTTCTTTCACACTTAGTAAGGTGAGTGTGGTGCCTGCTCAGGAGTTTGCAGCGGCTCCTTTAAGGGGAATGTAGTAGGAGTTATTCCAAATAGCGATGGTGTCTAACAGGTCATTAAGCTATGAAGACGATGGGGCAGGTAAAAAAAAAAAAAAGCTATGAGGAGTGTACCTCAAACTCTTCTAGGAATCTGGTCATTGCTTTCTCTTCCCAACAGGGATCTCTGATCTATGTGCTCTGATCTAGGTGCTCCTAGCTCTACCCTCTCCTGATTGAACTTTATTATGCATCAAATGCGCTTCTCTAAGCCATCTCAAACACTCTGGGATTCTTGTTATTTTAGCTGACAATAATATATAACTATCTATGATACTTCAATTCTGCAGACATTTTCTACTTTGGGAATATTCTGGAACTAATCTCTTATACATGACAACAACAGTTCATTTTATAGGTTTGAATTTACAGACTGAAATTGTGAGATTTATCTTTAAAAAACAGTTTCAGGTTCCAACAGTAACACTTACAAAACTACTAACAACTGGTTTAGTCACCTTTTTCTAATCTATTTTGGCTGTTAAAAAAGTGCTCAAGAATACTAATATGGTCCCTTGGAATTCCTGAAGTTGTACAGTGTCACCATGAGTTACTCGGAGCTAGCACTGGCTGTAACCACAGCAGATGCAAACCACTGCTCAGCTCACTACCTCAACTTTCCTGAATTCACATCAAAGCAATGGTTTCTGCAAATCTCATATCTCATCCTGTCATCTTGTTCCTATTAGAACTCTGTTTGGGGTCAAACGTCTCTGATAACAGCTTCAGACAGGAACTAACAAGTTACTCTGCTTCCCAATCTTTCCAATCCAAAAAAATTGATTAAATGACTTATCAATTACGCATGTTAAAGAAAAAAGTGATTAAACAGAAATCATTAAAACAAGGATTCTCTTCAAAACTGTAAATTCCCCAGATCTACTCACAAGAAAAAGTAGAGTCCCCAGGATAAACCGGCACCCCACACATTCGGGGTTACTCCTTGATACAGTCCTCGTAGTCCATCGACTTTCCAAATGGTAGCCAAGCAATGTAAAATTCCTTTATATTTTGGTCTTACTTCCAGTCCATCACTCACTGTATTGAAGAGCACACGGGTGAGAAGGGACACTGCCCATGAACCACACACAGACACAATCAGATCCATGAAGGAAATATATTCACCAAGAAAACCTCACGTAGAGGAAATTGTTTTTAGTATATCTGGTAATTTTTAATTAGTGCATCTGTCAACTTACCAAAGTATTCAGCCAGAGCATACTAAAACCTCTAATATTTTAGGAAGTAGCCTTTAAATAACCCAACTCAAATGTCTGAAACTATTACTCAGGGTGTAGGGAAATTGTTCAGTGGTTTGGAATAAATACTTGTGTTGCCCTTGTAGAGGACCTAGGTATGATTCTCAGCACCCACATGGTGGTTCACAACCACCTGTAATTCTAGTTCCAGAGTCTGACACTCTCTTGTGAATTCTGTAGGTTCCAGCCATGCAACTGGTATATATGCATTCATTCAGGCAAAACATTGTACATATACAATAAAATAAAATGAAATAAAAATATTTCTTAAAAAAACAAACAAACAAACCCTAGTCAGCTGCTTCAAGTCTATCAAGAATGCCAGCATGGTCTTAGGGGCAGCAGAGAAGGGAGCTGAGGCAAGGCAGCCTACTCCTGAACATTCTTCTCTACTAACACATACAGAGCTCAGTCGGAATATAAAGTACCCAAGTATTTCATGTGAATACTATTTTCTAAAGCTGAGCTAGTTTCCTCCATCCTTTCTCACACTGTTCTCATTCTAAAGTCCCGTAAGGCTCAACAATATGGCACCACTGTCTACAGCAAAGGTCATACTACCCGAGTGACAGTCATGCCACCGAGGACCAGTCACCACACTTGTCTTTTCCTTTTATTAAACATTTTTTAAAAAAAGTCCTTTATATCTTTTTACTCTACCACATAAAGCTCTCTTGGACCTGCCTACATCTCAGAAAATGCTGCTATCTGTTTTTAAGCAGTAGTAGTATTTTGAAGTATAGAGTGCTACTACGCCTGGCTATATTTGGCATTTATTTTTATTTTGCTTCTGTAGGAAAAGAAAACTACATTTGAAATAAGATAATTTAGATAGATGAAGGCTACTTAACAGGTCTGTCAACAGGTTGTAGGAAAATAATATGGAGCAATGCAGTCTTAACAACTGCTCTGTTGATTCAATCCTGGAAGTAGAATATTAAGAAATAGGGAACATTCCGTATCACGCATAGGACACCAGATTATAAAACCACATTACAAAGTCCCATGATACAAAGTTTGTTTGACATAGTTTTGCATGTTCCTTTCTTCTCTACTCTGGACTTCACAAGCATCTCTCCTTGTTATTAAGCTTGCACAGGAAGATGCTGAGACAATGCAGTGGCGGTCCCTCTCATAGCTATTCCATCATCACCCCTACACTCACTCTCCTCTCTCACACCTCAGCTGTTTCTCAACCTTTAAATCCATATTTTAGGTTTAGCACGTAAAAAAGGGTCTCATCACAGAATTTTTATATGTATGTGTCATTATACTCCCCCCCTCCCCGAGACAGGGTTTCTCTGTGTAGCCCTGGCTGTCCTGTAACTTACTCTATAGACGAGGTTGGCCTTGAACTCACAGAGATCCACCTGCCTCTGCCTCCTGAGTCCTGGAATTAAAGGTGTCATCACCACTCGGCCTTTATACTGTCTCTATCTCAGCCTGCTCTCCCACTACTCTCTTTTGTACGCCCTATTCCCTCTGTCTGGTCTGCTCCTCTTTTTACTAGTAAACAGTTCTCTAAAGAATATCCTGTAAAGCGATTTGTATCGATTCTTATTACTTCCTTATCATTAGCCATTAGAAAGGAAGTGATACGGGTTAAAGGGTATCAATATAAATTCAAAACACAGTGAAAAGTACCTTCCAAAATAGTTCACACAAATTATAGTCTTTTCGATGTACACATGCCCAGTTCTCTGTCCCCGCCCACTACTGCACTGCATGGAGTCTGGCACTGTTTACCAGTGCTATGCAAAGGTGAACAGTCAGTTTCTTTCATCATTAACCTGTCAACATTACACTACGAAATGAGATTAAAGTGCACTGAGCTTCAGGGGAGGCCTAGGTTGGATACCAACTTTCCTTTATTAATTACATGATTTTACCCTGTCTGAGCTTCAGCGTTCTCCTTTGTAGAGTGGGTATATCCTCCTAAATTTTTTAAAGTTTACGAAGCCCTTCAGATAGCAGGGCTGTTTGCTTAGGAAAGGTATTTTGCAGCACACATGCTTCTGATGTGCCCCTTGGGTTTTGTGCCTTTCATTCTGTACAGATTTTCTTGTTCTGGGCAGCTTTCCAGGTTTCTCTCAATAATAAGCTCACAATTCATTTGTGAGACAAAAGGCAAAACAGTCCTGCTGTTTGTGGCCATACACCCATGCTTGCTTTACTGTTTTAAGAAGTTAATCTTAGTAATAACTGTGTGAATAGTGAGAATGATTAGGCGCTGGTCTTTAGAAGGTGACATCTTTGGGGAGGAAAACTGGAGATTTGGGGGGCACACATGTTGGGCTGGTGTAGGAAGGAATATTAGTTTGGAAGGAAGGGTGGGGATGGGAGCTGTTTAGGAGTGAACTGTATTATCTCCAAAGTGCAGGTAAAGCTGAAGTTCTGAAAGTGACTACAAGAAGACAGGGCCTTTAAGTAAAGAATTAGGATTAAATGGCTATTTGCAAGCCAAGGAGAGGGTTCTCACTAGAAACCAACCTGACTAACATCTTTGATCCTGGGGATCCTTCCAGTCCCCAAATCCCCAAGAGAAAAATAATCCTTTTGTTGTTTAAGCCATACTGGTTGTAGTGGTATTTTGTTGCAGCTCAAACTACAAAGGTTCTTGGGGGGGGGGAACTAAAATAATCACATACATGTTTTGAGAAAGGAAATTGTGGTGTCCTCAGGTAGAATGAATTTGAAGGCAGAGAAGACCGGAAGGAGTCTCTCTACTGTCATCACATGGAAGTTGTATACACAGTGAGTTTTTAGTCTAAGTGATCTGAGGAATTTCATGAAAGCAGAGATCTCACATCACCGTAAAGGCTAGTGGTAACACTGAAAGATGCCAGGAGACTGTAACTCAACAGAAAAGTTGGTATATTGGAGGAGCCAAGATAATTTTTAAATTCTTTTTGAAGAACAGCAGCAAGTACATTGGCTTTAAAAACTATGTAGTCCCACCATCCCGGGACACACTGTCTCACATGCTGGCTCTTAGCTTTATCTACTTCCTTGTCTTGGTCACACCTGAAGAGCTTGTTTCTTACTTAGTTATAAATTCCCTTCACTTGTGCTTTATGTGGTTTGTCTCTACTTGTTTTGTGATAGAGGTTTTTGAGCTCAAGGCCTGAGTGCCTCAACCTAAGACCTAAGGCAGCATTCAACCACTGAGCTCATTCAGTGCCCATGTCCAACCTCTTTCAAAAGCATCTGTCTTGGCCACTTTGTGTATCATTGCAGAGTACCACTGCTTTGCCAGGGCAAATTCTGCGTGCCTGTAATTTTTCTTAGGACCAACTCACAGCGGGCACCTCCCTACCCACATGAAGCTTTTCCTTTACCCTTCTCACATAACAGTTCTACTTTTTTTTTTTTTTTAAACTGTCAACACTGGAGCTCCAGTTTACTTGGGTGTCAATGAACTGTTTGGTTTTATAGCACATGCATTCAGGATTAACCTTCCTCACCACTGCTAGACAGTAATTCTAATAAGTGGGCTTAATTATATGAAAGCACAAAATGGAGGCATTATCTAGTACTGATGCCTACTGGTGACTGTATTGGTTAGTTTTATGTCAGCTCGGCACAGCTAGAGTTGTTTGGGGAGAAGAACCTCAACTGAGAAAATGCCTTCATCCAGATGGCCTGTAGGTAAGTCTACAGAACAGTTTCTTGACTAATATTGGGGATGAACCCAGCCCCCACAGTGTGGAGGTGGGGATGCCACCCTCAATTCTACCCCATTACAGGAAGTCTTAAGTTGTACAAGAAAGCAGGTGAGCAAGCCAGTAAGCAGCATCCCCCACAGCCTCTGCATCAGCTCCTCCTCCAGGTGGCTGCCTTGAGTTCCTGCCCTGACTTCCCTGGATGAGGGACGATAGAACCATAAGGAATGAACCCTTTCCTTCCCGAGGTGCTTTTGTCATGGCGTTTTATCACAGCAACAGAAACCCTAACTAAAAGCCGACTCAACTTTTCATAGTTTATCTTCCTCAGTTTCTCCTTCCTATCACTCGTCAGTCAAACTGTAGGTTTTACCACTACACAGGCTTGCTCTGCTGTGGGAAGGACTTCAATTAGGGATACCTATCTAATCTTAACCCCTTATTCTGTTACTAACCACCTTATCTACCTTACAAGTTTCCAATACTCTTCTCACATTAAGATGATGAATCTTCTCAGGTACCAAGAATTCCCTTTCCTCAAGCCTAGTAAGCTTTGTAGCCTTGTCCAAAAGCCAACCTGGCCAACCCTCTTCCTCAATCAAAGTCTCAGCTCCCCACCTTCTGTTTTAGAGGAGGCTGTGTAAGAGAGACACCAAGACACAGACCCACATCTCAAGAAGTCAAGGCTACTCACGTTTAAGCCAGTGTTAGCAGGGATTCCCAGTGGTGCTGCAGGTAAGTGCAGGGCAGTTTCAGAGTGAAACTCCTGAACTCAAACCTCAGATTGCTCTTTACCACCTTGTGACTTGGATAGCTTACCCAAATCCCTACCGTTATCATCTGCGTAAAGTTAGCTATCAATGTTGGTAACAATTTATTGTAACAATTATCTATAGATGCATAGCAAACTCCATGGAAATACGTCTCCGTAGTATCTTTTCTAGGATACCCTCCATAGGCATCAGATATTCTCCACAAGAATGTCTTCTTGTCTCTTCTCTGGCTGCCAAAATAGTAATCCTGTTGAGAACTTTAATATGGAACCTTTACAAATACATACAGGTCACCTGTGCTTATTTTTTAAATATTTATTTTATTGTTTTCTATTTCATATGTGTCCCTGGGTAGGGTATGTGCATGTGCTGGCAGAGGCCAGAGATTTTAGGTTTCCTTAAAGCTGGAATTACAGACAGTTGTGAGCCACCTGTTCAAAGTGGGTGCTAAGAACCCAATGTGGGTCCTCTGGGGGTGCTAAGCCATTTCTCTAGCTCCTGCTTTCTTTAGTTTTTTTTATATAGTATATTTGTATTCTTATTTTGTATTTGAATTTATTCTACTTAGCACTTGATTTCATGTTGTATAGAATCCTTTTATATAACTTATGCTAATTACATTTTTAAGTTTCCTAACAGTAAGAAACTGTTGGTACTTCTTAGTTCGACTCCACTCTTCAAACAGTAAGACACATACATCAAGTAAATGATTAAAATTAGAAAGCTCTACTAAAGCCATTTCTAAAGGCTTGATTTTTAATTCCTAAACTGCCGTGTTAATTTCCATATACTTAATTCACGCTTAAATACAATTATTTAGAGTGTAGATGTTCCTCCTTCCTTCACTAGACAATGCATATTATAAATACTCCAAACTAAAGAAACCTTCGAGAATACTTTAATCCCAAACCAAGACCTTCTTTTCGGAAGGAGACAATGCTCCAGCTTAAACACTTGCACTTTGGTTTGACTTTATACAGCCAAACACGTGGCTGCCCTAAGACTTCAAATTACCCCTAAGAGTGAATGGCTCGTGAACATAAGGGTCAAATGTGACAGTCTCCTTTCTCTCAAACTTCACCCACTTTCCCTATCCTTTAGGGTTAGGGGACACAGGGAAAGCCGGGACCTCCTTCCTAAATCCTAGCTCCAGGTAACGCAGGGCACACAGCATCATCTTCGGGGCTCTACCCCTTGTAGTACTGAGTCTGGGGAGACCAATGTTTCCTTTGGGTGTTTAGTGCTTTGTTGGGCTGGCAGCAAGGGAAGCCGCCCGGGGCATGGGCAGGCTCTTACCAGCGAAGCGGATCTTCACAAGGTCGAGCGGGTGCAGCGCCAGGTTGGACAAGACCCCGCCACTCACGCCAGCCACCAGGTTCTCATACCGGACGTGGCGGAACACCGCACTCCACGCCGCCGACCCGGCCGCCGACTGGCCCTGGCCTGTCATGGGCTCCGGGCTCGTCGACACTACGGCGTCCAGCGCCGCCGACGTGGGACGTGATGTAGTGGCCGCCACCGTGGCGACAGTCGCGGCCTGTGTCCCGGAACCGCAGGACCTGAGCCCACTTCCGGAATTGGAGCCCGGGACACTGCAGCAGAAAAGGAACACCGGCGGCAGAGCGGCGTGAAGAAGGACGATCGGAGCTTAGCCTGCTTAGCCCCGCCCAGCCGGCTTGGCCCCGCCCACAGCTGCGCGCGCTCGCCCTCAGGACACGAAGCGAGAGACAGCCGAAGGCCCTCCCCTCCAGCTCCTAGCCGGAGCGACTACGGCACGCCGCCGGGTCCAGCTGAGCCATCCGGCTGCTACTCTACGGAACCACGTGACAGGAAGAAGCCTGCGGAAGGCGGAAGTAGTGTGTCTGTGTGGGTTAAGTCGAACCCGGCTTAAAGGCTCGTGGAGTCCGAAACCCAGAGCCGCCAAGATGAAGGTGAAAATGCTGAGCCGGAACCCTGACAACTATGTCCGCGAAACCAAACTGGACATACAAAGAGGTGAGAGGAACTGGAACCGAGGAAGCAGCGTCCTCCCGGATTCCTTGGGTCTGACCAGCTTTCGAGCAGTAAAAGGGGCGGGAGGCCAGCGCTCTGGTTTTCCCTGTCCGCGTAGGCGACTGTGTCCACACAGGGCTATTGAGGAACAGAGTTGCAGATGACATATCCCTCTAAGTCCTTTGTGAGAATTTTCCTCTAGAGGGAAGTAGTTCTGTATAGCAAGGGTGCTTCCAGTTTTCTCCTGTCAGGCGTTCTCTGTTCAGGTTTCTAGCTGTTGGAAAGTGGAGTTTTAGCCAAACTCATGAGTCAAGCGTTCAAAGTTTTAAAAAAAAAAAGTTTTAAAGCTGTGCTTTGGACATTTACTAGTTCTGGGTGTGGGAAGGAAACAAGATGAGAAGAGATTTAAGGCAGCTCAACTACTCATAACTACTCTTGAGAATTTGAGGAGAGAATAGTTAGGATGAAGTTAGTGAGTTTTATTTACTGGTTTGTTTCTCTTAGCATGCTGACCGTTTATAAATTATTTCTTGGTAACAGACATGAGAGGAGACCACTCTTGTCTGAGCAGACCATTGTAACTGAAGACAAGAATAGATATAACTAAGGCATAAAAGTCATGCCCTTAGAGTAAATGGGAGTGATAGTGACTCTTGGTTACTAGAGGTTCTCCCCTTTCCCTTCCCCTCCCCCAGCATTGCTAAGGGTGGTATATGGCCCCTTCTCCCAAGGTGTTTTAACATGGTAATATTTCTTAAATGAAGAGTAGATTTGTCACTATGGTTTGATATTGTTTTGAGTCTTTGAACCTCATTGTTTTTTTCCTTCCACTTTCACCAATCAGTACGTTGCTGGTTAGATAGCTATCATGTTTTATATGTGCTTGGCCCAGGGAGTGACACTATTTGGAGGTGTGGCCTTGTTGGAGTAGGTGTGTCACTGTGGATGGGGGCTTTAATACCCTAGTCCTAGCTGCCTGGAAGGGAGTATTCTGCTAGCAGCCTTCAGATGAAAATGTAGAATTCTCAGCTCCTCCTGCACCATGCCTGCCTGGATGCTGCCGTGATCCCCCCTTGATGATAATGGACTAAACCTCTGAACCTGTAAGCCAGCCCCAATTAAATGTTGTCCTTATGAGAGTTGCCTTGGTCATGGTATTCCTTCATAGCAGTAAAACCCTAACTAAGACAATGGCTTACATTACCCTTGCCAGTGTGGCTGAATTTCAGGCTCTCTCTTGGAGCTATACCTATGAGAAACTTTCTCTCAATCATAATCTTTACATACTTATTCCCTGAACTTGTCCTTTCTCTTGCATTTCAGTATCGTCTTCTGTGTTTCCAATACATATTGTTTGGATTTCTGTCAGTGCTTATCACATTGTCTCATGATTATTTGTTGATTAGCAGGCTTTCCTATCAGACTGAGCTTGTAAAGAAGAGGAAGAATCATATTCTTATATGCACAATGTTTAGACAATAACTCACATTAATAGCTACTTTGTAAGTGTATGAGTGAATGAATGAATGAATGGGTGACAGCCTGGACACAGAATCTTATGCTAGGAGATACAGCCCTATTTGTTAGTAACATCTTTTTTCAACAGTATCTCCCTATTTTTATTTCTATAATAGAAATGTAATAGCAAAACAGAAGAATAGAATATTTGGAGTGCTATAAAATATAAAACAAGAAACACATCTGTTATATTTTATTTAGAGTTATTTCCTTGTAAATCTTATGCAGGATTTAAATACTGGGAAAGTACTTGTGAAGCTTTATTTTTGAAATATCCTCGATAATTTTGATGTGTCTAGTTAATGTGTAAGAGCACCTTGCACAAATATATGTAGTTTTATATGAGTTTTAAACTGTGGTGTCCAGCGCTTATGATACGTGGCAGGTGCTACATTAGTGTTAGTTTTTTTGTCTGTGACTAGATGAATGTGTTGGAAGTAGATACAATGATTGTGATTTAGAAGACAAAGAGAATATTATAAAGGGGTACATGAGGTTTGGGTAGATTTAGGTGAAAGTTAAGTCCTGATGGAAGGGCTGTTTTATAGAAGGAGAGTACAAGGTTGTTTGAGGTGACAGGGAGTGAAGGTGCCTGAGCTGAGCTCCGGAAGTACTTGAAGCTGATGAGACAATGAGACCAAGTTGTAGAAGACCAGAAAGGGGCTTGAACTTAGTTTAGTACCTCTAAAGGTAGGTGCGTGCTTAGACTCTCTATTACAATATGGGGATACACTTAGGACATCAGTGTTTAAATTTGTATGCTAAAAAAATAAACTGAACCAGGCTTGGTAGTTCATCCTTTAATCCTAGCACTGTAGAGGCAGAGGCAGAGGCAGGCAGAGTTCTGAGTTCCAGGCTAACTTGGTCTACATAGTAAGTTCCAGTTTACATGGTGAGTTCTAGACCAGCCATGGCTACATAGTGAGCCTGTGTTTACAGACAAACAATATCTATTTATGTGGTATTTAATGAACTTACAACCTCATTTCAGCCATATGTTGTGTATTCTGGGCAGAGTAGAGTTGACAAGGGAGGACTTGATTCTACCTTTAGAATAGCATAGCATATTACGGTTTATATTTTTCTTGTGGTATAATAATTTATAGATCGAAAGGAAAGACTAAAAACATTTGTTGTTGCAGTAAATTACTTTAAAAAATCTTGTGCTGTTCAGAGATTCTTTTGAAAATACATGCTTGGAAATGTGTTTTCTGTTTAAAAACTTATACTGAGTGTGTTGTTTATAATGATAATAGATTTTGTCTACAAGACAGTATTTGGAAACAGCATGCACTACCTTCTTTTAACTAGTAAAGTATCAGTTGTAGAAACAGCTGTCGACATCACAGTAGATCAAACATTTCTAAATAGCTTTTGCAAACCTGGTGGAAATGATGACCAAAAAGTAAATACACTAAATAAATACTGCCAGCTCTAGAGCTGTCAGTGGACACCTTTCCTCTCCTTGGATCTGCTTATTTTTGTGAGGTACAGTCAGTTCTCATTTTGTTCAGCACTGTATGAACTAAACCAATGAGAGGTTCACTGTGCAGTCACCTATATACTACAGAAAAACATGCCAGCAAGAGCTCGGTTGCTGTATGCTAGCATCCTGTTGACATGGCACTGTGGGGAAGTCAGTGAATCTTTCTCCACTAAAACCAGATGTTAAGACGTACATTTGGAGATGTTAAATTTTTCTCTCAGGGAGCTTAATTGAAAACAAAATTTTAACAAAAACCAAGCATCTTTAATACATGCTTGTACGAAATATACCAGCTCAAAAACTGTGTTACAATGAGACATAAAATCTAAAGGTTTGAGGACTACTCCAGGGAGATTTTGATTACGAGAATAGCCTGTGCTCGATTAATCTGATAACAGTTTAAACTACTGCCAAATCAAGTAGAGTGAACCCGTAGTCCAGGTGTAAGGTACTCAGGGCTAACACTAAGTTAGCAGATCCCTGGAGGAAAGGGAAGGGTGACCATTTCAGTGAGGACGAGTGCTTGATCTTTGGGATTGGAGACTGTGGAGTGTGGAATTCAGGAATGGCCAAGGTTTGAGCTTTACTGCATGGTGGGTATGATGCACTGTTAGTACGGAGTCAGAAAGCAAGGATAGCAGGGTGATGGTGAAGGGAAGTGTATGTACTGTTGCACATTGAATTAGTTAGTCATGGACTTAGAATGAGACGGCATGTTTGGCAGACTAGTTAAGAAAGAACATGGCTCATAGGCAGGTTACTTGTCCCCTCTGTACCTCAGTCTCACAACTATATAGTGGAAGATAGGAATAGATGTACCCTGTGGGGTACTTTGGAAATAATGTAAGTTAAGGAAGTATCTGGAGTAGTGTGTGGAAGTCAGTGAACTATACCAGTGCTTTTCAGATAAGGGAACAAATGTAAAGTGTCCAATAAATAGCAGTTGTATTATTCAGTTAACATCACAGTGCTGTGTTTCTGTCAGTGCAGTGCTTAGCACCATGAGCAGCTAGCACAAGCAGCCTAGGTCTTAAACAGAAGGTCATCATAATGCTTGGCTTTGTTCCAAGTACTGTGCTAGACATAGGAGTACAAATGAACGATGTGTTAGAACCCCTACCCTGTGAGAGGTCACATACCCAGTTGAATATGGTAGGACATATAGAAGGGAAGCTGTGTGTGTGTATGTATAGATAATCTACTTATACAGGACTATATATCATGATTTTCCCATAATTTTGAAAAGGTCTTTAAGTGACTGGTGTACTTTTGTGTCTTTCATAGTGCTAGGCAGAAAACAATATTCCTAATTAAAGGCTTATTGAGTAACAGATTACATGATTAGCTAGGGTTTTCCACAAGAAATAGTAAATGTGAATTATTATTCAGAGAGATTGTTCTTAAATGTGAATTATTATTCAGAGAGATTGTTCTTATTCCAGTTCCAAGGAACTATGACCCTACTTTACATCCTTTTGAAGTCCCACGAGAATATGTAAGAGCTTTAAATGCTACCAAGTTGGAACGAGTATTCGCAAAACCATTCCTTGCTTCCCTGGATGGTCATCGTGATGGAGTCAATTGCCTGGCAAAGCATCCAAAGAGCCTGACTACTGTCCTTTCTGGGGCATGTGATGGAGAGGCAAGTGTCACTTTAAATCTTGTTTTA